TTGCCGGACACGGAAAAAAGACAAAAGACAAAAAAAAAAAAAAAAAGGCACAGATAGTCAAATTACATAAAGAAAGACCCAACTAAATAGTACCTAACATACTGTGTTAGTCTGTTTTTGTGTTGCTGTAAGTGACTGCCTGAGACTGGGTAATTTGTAAAGAAAAAAGGTTGATTTGGCTCATGATTCTGGGACAGCTGCATCTGGCACAGTCCTCAGGCTGCTTCTACTCATGGCTGAAAGTGGCAGGGCAGCCAGTGGGTACAAGGAGATCACATGGCGAGAGGAAGGAAGGAAGAGAGAGAGAGAGACAGGGGAGGTGCCAAGCTCTTTTTAACAGCCAGCTCTCATGGAAACAAATAGAATGAGAACTCACTCACTACCTCCCCAACCAAGGAAGGTGTTAATCTATTCATGAGGGATCTTCCTCCATGAATCAAACACCTCCTAACTCTGCCACATTGGGAATCAGATTTCTACACGTGCTTTGGTGGACAATATATCCAAACTATATCACATACACACTTATACTCATACAGACAACTTAAGTATAATGACACAAATAGGTTAAAAATGAAAGAAAAGAAAAAAATAAGTGAGGATACTTCAAAAAGTTCATGGATAAATAGAATTAAAAGTTAATATGAATCTTTTCATGAACTTTTTGAAGTACCCTCATACCATGACAACACTAAATAAAAGAAAGCTTGATTAATTAGCTTTATTTAGCCATTTCACAAGATATACATATTTAAAACATCATGCTGTACACCACACGTATATACAATTTTTGTCAATTATACCTTAATAAAAACAAATTAATAAAAAGCCCGAGTTAATATTATGTTACTATCAGTCAAACTGTGAAATGCTTCACAGTTATTACTGGGGAGAAAAAGAGTCATTTTATAATGATAAAAGTAGTCATTCCTCAAGAGAAACACAATAATACTAAATGTTTATGCATCTATTAACAGTTGCTTCAAGATACATGAAGCAAAAACTGATAGACCTGGAAGAACTAGAGATACTCACAATTACAGTCAGAGATTTCAACACCCCACTTGCAACAATTGATAAAACAAGTAGAATAATTATGCGGATAATCAGTAATGATATAGACGATTTGAACAGCACTATCAACCAACTTGACATAATTGACATTTACAAAAAATTCTACTCAACAACAGCATAGTATACACTCTTTTTAAAGTACACACAAAA